TGGGTGGGCTGTGTTACCATGGGCGGGGAGAAACGGCTGGACATCAAACTGCAGCGCAGGGGGCGGGAGGGGAGGGCTCGTCAGCTCCCCCCGGGGCTCCAACAGCCTCCGCTTCCCACCCCAAACCCTCCCGAGAACCTCCAGGGTTGAGACCCCCAGCCCCAACCCAGCTGGGGTCTGGTTTTACGCCGGATCCTGCCCCAGCTCGCAGGACGGTAACACGGACCCAGCCTACGCCATGCCCTGAGCCTGTGGGACGTCGCTTTTGCCCCGCAGAATCTCCTGTGGGGACCATCTCCACCCTCCCAGGGGTGCCTTCTTGGCACCCAGGGCACGCTGCTGAAGACCGTTATGTCTCTCTCCTCCACACTGGATGTCCGTCTTCTCCTGTAGTTCATGCTCTCTTCTGGGCTTTCTCTCTTCCACACCTTGAAGGATACTGCCCAAAACTGGGGACGCTCCTCCAGCTCCATCTGCAGAACAAATGTAAGGATTTCATCGTGTCTTGCTGATTACCCTACCCACCTCCACCGTCCTGCTCTGCTGCCTGGAATGGAAAACAACACATACTTGATGCAGATCAAATCAAAACATAGAAAGATCCTCAAGCCCACCTATTCTCCTGCTACCATGGTCGGGGCAGCTGGGGGGATCTGGAGCCTGCAGCTGAGCTTCTCGGATGGATTTAATGTCCTCAGGCCCATGAACTGCGCCCCTCCGGCAGTGCGTCAAGGTGCTGGGTGCCCTTCAGCTGTGACTGATGTCATCCGCGGTTGTCTTCCAGCTGTACGTCACCTGCTGTATCCAGAAGTTGTCGCCACCCGCTGCCCAAGCCTCTCTCGAGGGGGTTTGCCTCCTGCTGTACTCCTGTTCCAGCAGACAACTGCTGGGCCATGGCTTTTTGAGGATCCTGGTAGAATGAAGGGCTCCAGATGTTCTTCCTGGGTCTTCCTCATGTTCATTATTGCTCCCTGGTGGCCTTGCGCAGGTCTGTCTCCCTCTGTTCAGGGACGTCAGTATGGAGGTACACCATTCTTCATAAAGTTTCATCTCCAGCCTTGTCCCTCCCAAACCAGCTAGACCTTTGACATCAGTTTTCCAAGCGCACGAATGATGCCATGAAGCCTCTGTAATTTGGTTTATTAGCAACAATCCCAATTTGTCCTCCCTGTCATCTCACTTCTTTCCTTTTAGATCAATGGATTTGTCAAGAACGGCCTTCATCTCCACCCAGGACGAACGTCTTTAGTGCTTAACCTCCCCAGACCGTGCGTGCTTCCCACTGTGGCTTGGTGTCATCCATAACGCGGCATCCTGCAGCGCTGAGCGCTGAAAGGCGAGCAGCGAAGTCCCACGCGTCCCAGAAGGAATCGCAAGAACCTCACGAATTCGTTAGCAGCTCCAGCTCAACACTGAAACACAGAAAAATATCACGGCATCACTCAACGTGCGAACCAAACGAGTCCCGCACAGCGGTAATGCTTTGGGGAGTAATCCCGACTTGGCCGCAGAGCACGATGGATTATGTGGTTGATTTTTCTTCTCTTTTTTCCCAATCCTCTATTCAATTCAATGCATTCCAATAATCCTCGGTTCTGCCCACGCCTGCCCTTCTACGGAGACAGAAGAACAGTTGGCCCAATGCTTTTGTTGAGATTTAAAACAGACAAGCGAGCCTACTTCTCATGCCCAGCCAGTTCGGCTTTCACTCGCACCCCTGGAAGTCAAGAGTAGCTGAACGGAGGCCAAGTTCCTCTGGGTTTACAACAATGCATCTGGGAACAGAATTCTGCCCAAAATACCGAGTACGAGGCTGACATCAGCTCAGCGCCGGGCGCCTCGCACCAGGCTCCTTTTCCTTCAACAGTTTTCTTGGCTGAGACGCGCCGAACACGACCGGCGACCTCGCCTGACCTCGCTGCGGCTGCGCCCTCCCCGCGCAGCCCCGGGACGCGGCCGTCACCGCGGGCGGCGAGGAAGCACCTCTGGCTTCAGCACCATTGCGCGGACGTGGACTGGCAGGAGGAAAAGGAAGAGGATTGAGGATTACGATCTCTGTCCGCTGGAAAGCAGAAAGGAGGAAATTCCCTTTCGGTCCCACCCGGCCGCTTCCCGACGCGATGGCAGCTGCCGGTCCTTCATCACGTGAAAAACAACTCCTTCACGTTCAGACCGCAGCAAGGTTGGGGGTGGTTTCCTCGTCTCTTCTCATCAAGCCTCGGGGGATGTCACTTTTTGGGGGCGACTCTTTCCGAGAATAGCCACGACACCCAAAAACAGGCCGGACACACAAACCTGGCCTCGAATTTCGCCCCGACTGGGGCGTTTTAGTGCGGTCTCCCAAGGTCTGGTGACAACCCCGCACGTAGAGAGAATAAAGTCCTCACCTTGTCAGGAGTGCCTGCATCCCCCATCCTGTCCCTTTCCCCCCCCCGAGGCCTAATCTGGTCAGGATAAAGGATCAAAAGGAGAAACAATTAGCGAATGGCAGAATTTAATGATGCTAATTAAAATGTATTAAGTGTAGCCACTGCCTCTGCACCAGCTGCTTTGGCAGGAGCCTGGAGTCCGCCGAGCGCCGGCCTCAGCCCGGTGCGGAGCGGGGAAGCAGGACATCTGGTGCGCCCTCCCCCCGGCCCCCTCGCAAAAAAGCAGCTTCGAGGAAAACTTCATTTGCTGCTGCTCGCCGGGTTCGTGGCGGAGCCCCTAATTAGCTCCATCTCTGCAGGAGACCCCGGGGACCTCATTAGGCATTTCAATTAGTGAATAGCCAGAGCTGCGGAGGGAGCGGGGGGCTGGGGGCTGTTTGATCACGATGGCTGCAATTAAGCAAGCGGACGGAGGTGACAGAAGTAACCCCGCTTCCAAAAAAAAGTGGGGGAAGCACCAAGCTGGCTCCCAGATGCTACCAGAGCAAGCGCTCCCAGAAGTTTGCTCTTGACAAGCTCTTAACGAGACGTTTGCCAACTCCCAGCAATAACCCCCCCCCCAATAGCTGCGGCCAGCCCACAAAAGTCACCCCTTTT